CCCCCCCCCCCCCCCCCGTTATCCAACTTTTACTTTCTCACCCTGGCATGTCTCTTACTGCCGTGGGTTCCAATGCAGGATATATATTGGAATCACCTAGGGAGCTTTTAAGACTCTCCATGCCCAGACTGGATCCCAGACCGAGGATATCACCTGAGGCCTCAGTAGCATTTAGTGCTTCCCAGGTGATTCCCTGCTGCTGCCAGGAGTAGGAATCAGTGTCTTCCAAGTATGTGTTGTCTCTTCTTAAAAATACCCTAGTGTTCTTTTGCAGCACTTTAATATCTGCCCCCCAACACACGCTGACAGTGGGGTGTGATCTACTACCATGCGGCAGATATGTTTTATCACATAATGCACAGCATTCACAAGTTCACTGTCTCCACTGCTGAAGTGGGACACTGGCTCTCCAAGCTCACTGAAGTAAGTATTGCCATAAGTATCCAGGCTTAAGAATAGCACTTGGGTTGTCAAGAGTTTTTCTTGGTGTGGAATGGATTGTTGCTTGGTTGTTTTGTTTACTGTGCCTTTGGTGACAAGCCTTTGGCAATTGGGTGACATTCATAAGCACTATATATGAGACAGTAATTATGTGGGAGTCCTTGTGCCTTAGTTTCTCCGCTGGTCAAAGGGAGTAACAGTACCTAACCTAAAGCTAAAGGCATATGACAGAGTGAACGGGGAGCTGCTTTGCTGTCCTAGGTTTATTACGATTCATTCTGTGCTGGAGGCAGCGCAGATTAGTTTTTCTTGCAGAACAAATCCTCCCAGCTGGAAAGGGAGTGGGTGTCAGGCTTGTTTAAACAAGTGGCAGCTGGACCCGTTGAAAACACTCTCCTGATTTTTCCGACCATGCTGAGTATACTCTTCAGCACAACATCTTTTTAGAAAAGTTGTTCAAGAGCCCACTTCATGTAGAACCACACCGTTTTCTATTCATTCTGCTCCAAGACTGAAGTTTGAACAGACTCTTCTCTGAGTGGTTCAATGTCCCTTTTGCTGTTAGGCACAGCACCATCCTTCTGCCTGCTGGTGCTGCTGGTGGTGCCGACTGAATCATCTGTGTGCAGTGGCTTAGCTTTTCTGGGGCTGTGTGTGTACACATGTGTGTGTGGCAAATGTTTACTTGCTAACAGGGCTCCTTCTAACAGGTTAGGTGTAGAGCAGTCGACATCAAATCTCAGACTTTTAAAAAATATTATTTTATTTTAAAGATGTGGGGTACAATTCAGGGTTAGGTATACAAATGTTCATTATGCAGGTACCCTTGTTGATGAGGTGTGCCCCTCCCTCCCCTGGCAGTTTCCCTCAACTGCCATCCTCCGCCCCAGTTTCCCACTACCTCCTATGCCTTTCTTATATTATTATAATTGTTTGAGGTCTGCTCATGAAATCTCAGACTTTAAATTCCATAGCTGCACTGCAAGCATATTGCTCACTCAGAGTCCAGATTGCCTTGAGATTTGGGCTGTACCTCCTTTGGTTAACCTTGTCCTGGTCTTGAGTAAATCATTTCTCAATACATTATAATTATTTTCATGGGCTTGAAAAAGGATAGACACAACTCTAATAAGTGGATTTATGGATTAAACCATGCCCCACTGCCACACACAACTCCATCCTCTCCAGGTTTCCTCATCTCTCATCTTTTTTTTTTTTTTTTTTTTTGATTCCGAGTCTCACTCTGTTGTCTGGAGTGCAGTGGCATGCTCACGACCACTGCAGTCTCGACCTGCTGGGTTTAGGCGATACGTCCACCTCAGCCTTCCCAGTAGCTGGAACTACTTGCATGCACCATCAAGCCCGGCTACTTGTTTTTTATATATTGTAGAGATGAGGTCTCACCAAGTTGTGCAGGCTGGTCTCAAACCCATGGGCTCAGGCAATCCTCTCACCTTGGCCACCCAAAGTGCTGGGATTCTAGGCGAGCCACTGTGCCCAGTCTGGTTTCCTCATCTCTACCACTCACAGTTTTTTGGCATGTCCACCAAAAGGATGGGCTGTTGCTTTGGCTACTTTGTCAAAGTTCTAAAACCATGCTGTCCAGTTAGGTGGCCACTAGCCACACGTGGCTGTTTACAATTAAAGTAGCTAAAATACACTCAACGTAGTTCCTTAGTTGTGCTAGTCATGTTTAAAGTGCTCAGTAGAAAATAATAATAATTTAAAAATAATAAAGTGCTCAGTAGGCATGGATGGCTCTGGTATGGGACAGTGAAGATATAGAGCCTTTGCAGAAGGTCCCAGTAGACAACGCTGTTCTAGAAAAAGACTTGTGAAGGAGGAGAACAATGGAACTGTCCCAGGTGTGTTTTAGGAGCAATCATAGATGTGAAATTTAAGCACTTCCTGTCTACTGTTCTCATAGTAAGTCAAAGCTGGGTTTGATTGTGGCTTTCCATCTCCTTGTACTGTTTTAAGGGTCCTATGTGGGGTTTAAATCTTGAGGCCATATGTCACCATTGATGGGGTGGGGGTTTGATGAACTGCAGGCAAGCCGCAGGCAGGTCTTATGCCTAAACAAGGGCAAGTGAACGTTGTTGTGAAACAAAACTGCCATGGACCCAGAGGGGTGGGGCACATCCCATTTGGTTTGTTTTAATTGTGACAAGATATGCATAACAAAATTTACCATTTTGACCATTAAAAATTTTTTTTAATCTTAAATATGTGGGGTACAATTCAGGGTTAGGTATACACATGTTTGCTATACAGGTACCCTTGTTGATGAGGTGTGCCCCCACTCCCCTGGCAGTTTCCCACTACTGCCAGTCCTGCCCCTGCCCTCACCTGCCAGTTTCCCACTACTGTCAATCCCTTTCTTATAATATTACAATAGTTGTTCAAGGTCCGCTTATGAGTGAGAACATGTGATACTCTGTTCTTTGTTTTTGTGATAGATCACTCAATATTATGGACTCTCATTCCGTCCAATTTGCTGCAATAATAAGTTCATAATTTTGCATTTTGACCATTTTTAAGCGTTTGTTTCAGTGGCATTAAATATATTCACACCATTTTGCAACCATCATCAATATCCATCTCCAGAACTTTTTAATTTTTTAATTTTTTTTATTTTTTGAGTTGGAGTCTCACTCTGTCACCCAGACTGGACTGCAGTGGCTGCTCCCGGCCACCGCAGCCTCGACCTGCTGTGCTCTGGCGATCCTTCCACCTCAGCCTT